CATCGCAGTGCCTGGTTCAAGTCCTGGCTACTCTGCTTCTGACTTGGTTTCCTGCCACTGTGCACCTGGGAGGTAGCAGATGATTGGCTTAACTAGTTGGGTCTCTGTCTGCCATGTCTGAACCTGGACAAGTTTTAGGCTCCGGCTTTGGCCTGCCTAGCCCTGGATGTTGTAGCCATTGTGGGGTGTGAATACCCCCACCCCAGGTTAAGCTTTTGAAATGGGAGCATCATTTTGAAATGGTTCTCTGGTAACAATCACACGGGGCCCTGTAAGGGGAGGCAGGAGGACCAGTTTACCCAGACCAAGAATGACAGGGTCAGAGGAACAGGAAGAGGCGTGAAGATGCTGCCTGCTTGTTTTGAAGACGGAAGGAAGCAGCTATGAACCGAGGGACGCAGGTGGCCTGGGAGCTGGAAGAGGCAAGGACAGCTATGCCTCCTGGAATCCCCAAGCGCAACGCAGCCCTGCGGATGCATCGTCTCTTCAGACCCGTTGGATACAAGTGATTGCTTTTTAAGGACTTAGATTACTTATGTGAAAGGCAGAGTTATATGGAGAGAGGAAGAGAGAAGGAGAGAGGGGGAGAGGGAGAGGAAGAGGAAGAGAGAGAGGAGAGGGGGAGAGAGAGGGAGAGGGGAGAGGGGGAGAGAGAGGGGGAGAGGGGGAGAGGGAGGAGAGAGAGAGAGGGAGGGGAGAGAGAGAGGGGGAGAGGGGGGAGAGAGAGAGAGAGAGAGAGAGAGAGAGAGAGAATCTTCCCTTTATTGCTTCCTCCTCAAATGGCCTCAACAGCTGGGCCTGGACCAGGCTGAGCCAGGAACTGGAGCTTCATTTGGGTCTCCCTTGTGGGTGCAGGGGCCAAGCACTTGGACTTCTGCTGCCTTCCGAACAGGAGCAGGGAGACGGATCAGAAGTGGAGCAGTGGGAGACAACTGGCACTCCAACTTGGGATGCCAGCATTGCAGGAAGACGCTGGCCCAGGAATTTATTTTTTATTTATTTTTAAATTTATTTATTTGAAAGAACAGAGTTACAGACAGAGGTAGAGACAGAGACAGAGAGAGAGAGAGAGAAGTCTTCTAGCTGCTGGTTCCCTCCCAGATGGCCCAGGGCCAGAGCTTGTGTCCATACCGAAGCCAGGAGCCAGGAGCTTCTTCCAGTCTCCCATGTGGGTGCAGGGGCCCCGAGGACTTGGGCCATCTTCTACTCTGCTTTCCCAGGCCATAGCAGAGGCTGGATCAGAAGAGGAGCAGCTGGGACTAAAACCGGCGCCCATATGGGATGCTAGTGCTTTAAGCCAGGGCTTAACTCGCTGTGCCACAGCGTCGGCCCCCTGGAATTTGTTTAAAGGCAGCACATTTGGGTCATTCGTCCAAGCTCATGTAGGACACTGACACACGTCACTTAGCCCTGGACGCTGGCACTCACCACTGTGACATGGAGGGAGTGAGCTTCCTGCTTGATCAGCCAACACCGCTCTGGTCCTTGTCTTACAGCCAAAGCTGTCAAAGGCCATCTCTTCCCCCCCCCCCCCCCAGCAGATACGGGGGTTGGGTGGCAGACGTTGTGGTCAACCTTGGTCCCAGGCTTCCCTTTTTCCCAGAGTGCAGTGGGTCCCTCTTACCCACACTTTCACTTTCTGTGGTTTTGAGTCACCCACGGCCAACTGCAGTCCCAAAAACATTCCGTGGAAAACTCCAGAAGGAAGTAGTGCACACGTTTTAAATCATGCACTGTTCTGAGTGGCAGGATGGCATCTCCGTTGCCACGCCGCTCTATCCCGCCCAGGACGTGGAGTGCCTCGCTCGCCGTATCCACACTGTGCATGTCACCCCGCGTTAGGCACTCAGGAACCGTCTCGGTTATCAGATCGACGGCTGCGGTACTGCGGAGCTGGTGGTCAAGCCACCCCGTAGCAGCCTGCGCTGTGTCAGGACTGTATCGTCTCACTTCAGGTCATCACCCAGGTACCTGCGTCCACCTCCCATCGCCGCAGGAATGGTGACTACGGCACAATAAGGTTTTCCGAGAGGGAGACCACATGCACCTACCTCACCTCTTATTACAGTCTATTGCTATAGCTGTTCTATTTTGTTCTTGGTTATCGTTAATCTCTTACTGTGCCCCACTGATAATGTAAGCTTTATCATGGGTACGATTGGGGGAGATTCAAAAGGTTCACAGACAATGGAACTAAAGTTAAGTTTATTGTGATGTAAGAAATCTTGAAATCCACGTGCATCCATACGCGTGGAAAAACACCCAGCATATGAAGGGTCTTCAAGAAGTCCGTGGAAAATGTGTATTATGGAAAAAATCTTAAAATTTTTTTATTTACCCAAGAGCAGAGAGACAGGTGGAGAGAGCTGCCATCTGCCGGTTCACCCCTATGTGTCCACAGTAGCTGGGGCCGGGTTCAGGCTGAAGCTGGGAGCCAGGAGCTCCATCCAGGCCTCCTACGCGGGCGGCAAGGGCTCAGTTCTCTGAGCCATCACTACGGCCTCCCAGGTCTGCCCTGGTGGGAAGCCAGGGCTGGAAGTGAACGCAGGCACTCATGGGGTGGGGGGAGGCACCCTCCCTGCCAGGTTGAACACCCACTCCCTAACCCTGTCTTTTAATGCCATGCTTCCACTCTCTGGAGGGCCCGCATCAGGGGCTTCGGCACTATCTGCAGTCAGGCACCCAGCTGGGGCTGCTGCGGGGCACCACCGGAGGGCAATGGGCGACTACAGCAATTGGATGTCAGCTGGTTTGATTGCCATTTGCAGTAAAGACTGCACCCCGGCTTCCGTGGCCACTGGGCACTGGCTGACAGACATCGGCTGACACGCACAGACGCTTGGCTCCTCCTTCCCTGCGTCCCAGAGCTGAGACGCTGCTGTGGCCGCCCTAGGCAGAGCAGCGAGACCAAAGGAGCCAGGGCCTCCATACCGTGCACGGCATCTGGGAGCGGCACGGTGCTCCCCGGCCTCTGCAGGCCAAAGAAACCACCCTGGGTAAGAGACCACTGCTGTTCTGGGGGTTCTCCCACTTGCAGCCAAAACAAATCCCAGTCATAGCTGCCTCTGATGCTGTTTCCTAAAATGTTGGAATCCATTTACTCAAAGTGACTAATTTTTAAATTTCTGGACTATTTCCTTCATGCTTAGCCTTTTAAAATTTATTTTTATTTATTTGAGAGGCAGAGATACACATGTATATGGAGGGAGGGAGGGAGGGAGAGGAGGGAGGGAGGGAGGGAGAGAGGGAGGGAGGGAGGGAGAGAGGGAGGGAGGGAGGGAGAGAGAGAGAGAGAGAGATGCAGAGCAAGCTCCCGTCTGCTGGTTCATCCCCAAATGCCCACCATGGCTGGGACTTGGGCACTCAAACCAAGTCTCCCAGGTGGGTGGCAGGGACTCAAATCACTTGAGCCATAACCCCTGCCTCCCAGGTCTGCCCCAGCAGGAAGCTGAGTCAGGAGACAGAGCTGGGCCCTGAACCCAGGTTCTCAGATACGGAAGGCGAGGGTCCTAACTGCCAGGCCAAATGCCTGCCCTCTGCTCAAGCCGATTAAAGAGGGAGCTTCGTCTCCTCTGGAGGTTATCTTTCTCGCACTCAGATTTTAAAGCTCTGCGGTGATTTGTCGTCCTAACCATCATACTCGGGGTTGGACCACGGCAGACTCCCTTGGGCGGTGGCCTCACGGCCTGGGGAGGCACATGGCACGGGCCACCGGCACCTGGCGTCCAGCTGGCAGCCCGCGGAAGCCCTCAGTCCCTTCATTGGCCTCGCTGCAACCCGGCTCAGAGGTCTCTGTTGAGAGACCCAGAGGGGCCCGGTCAGCACCACTGGGGCCTTTGGAAGCCGACATGCAGGAGCCACTTCCCTTCCGCCTGCATCCCCTGCCCTGCCCAGGGGTCCCTGTTACTCAGTCCTCCCCCAACTCCCTGCTTGAGACACACAGTCTATACCATATGCATTCACCCCAGGGAGCTGTCAGGACTCAGATGAGCAGGGCAGCCACCGCCCTGCCCCCCAGCGCCACTGGGCCACCTCCAAGAGGCAGATGTCTGGGCACACACCCGTCCCCTCACTTCCCTGCTCACAGCCCTGCCCAGGTACCTGCTGTCGGGAGAGCAGGATGTGAGCCAGGTGCTTGCCAACTTCCGCTGACCGATGCAGACACACCCCCCAGGGGTTGTCAATGACGTTGGCCACACTGAGGAGTGAGGCTGGCCAGGTCAGGGCGGCCACGATGCCTGGGGAGACAGGAGACCAATGAGGGTGATGGAGGGCATGGGCGGGACTACCTATCCAGCTATCTAGGGAAGTGATTGGCTAACGGATGCTCTAGGGACTGTGCAGCGTCTTGAACCCGGAACCTGCACGTTTCCCAAGTACTCTCAGACCACTAAATAGCAGAGGGGAAACCGGAACGCATGCATTTCTGATATGTGCACCAAACCCCTTCCGCTCAGGCACTCGTCACGTGTGAGAATCCAAAGATGGCCCTTATCCGTCACCACCCAGGTGTTCCGCCTGCTCTGCAGCGCCCCTTGCCACAGCCCATCATGCTCGGGGCTAGCCTCTCTTGCATTTCTACCAGGGGTATGGGCTAGCCTGCTGACCCCGGGGCAGGGGGAGGGGCAGACGGAGCAGAGCCAAGTTGCTCTGGCCAGCCCAGGCAAAGCCGGCCTACCCACAGAGGCAAGATGAGCAGGTCTGGCTGAGATCAGCCAACTGCACCAGAGCCGTCACAATAAGGATTGCCATTTTCAGTGGATAAGACTTGGGGTGTTTGTAACACGACAGCTAACAGATACTTCATTCGGTGGATGGTCCGCCGGCCGCCTCTCCCCGCAAAGACCCCTCAACTCCTCTCTGGCAGGAATGCAGCCTTGCTCTCTCTCTACGTCCCTAGGGTCTTGCCCGGGTGGAGGTGGGCTCTGGTATGCAAAGGCGTGGTATCCCTGGGGCTCGTGGTTGGTGGTGGAGGGAGACTCACCAGACAGCACGGTGTACTTGAGGGCCTCCTGGGCCACCACGTTGGCGAGGCCACTGAGGATGGTCTCCAGGGCGTTGCCAAGCTCCATCAGGTACTTGGCCTCCCAGGCCAGGCAGTACTGCTCGCGGCTGTGGGCCAGGGCAGCCCACGGGGCACTGAAGGTGCCTGGGGAGAACACAGGTTGGTGGTGTCGCTCTTGTCTGTGGCACAGGATGCCCCACCCCACCCCCATCCCAGACAGGCAGTGACAGGGGACCGCACACCCCCTGCCTGTGAGCTGCAGCTGTTAGCAGAGCACGTGGAGCACGGCCCTATAGCTCCAGTGCCAGGAGTGGGGTCTGAATCCCAAAGCCTGCCTTCATTAGCAGCTGGGTGACCTTGAGCACATCCCTATATGACCTTGAGCCTCACTTTGCTTATCTGTGAAGTGGGGAGATGAACACTTATCTCCCTTCCTAGGGTAGCTGTAAGAATTAAGTATTTGAACTATTCTATAGGTGAAGAATTATTTTCTCACCCCCGGCACGAAGCAGCTGCCCACGCAGTGGGGACCTGTGATGGGACAAGCCACGTGGCTGGGAGTCAGCAGCATCTTGGTTCGACAAACACAGACTGGGAAGAGCTGGACGCTGGGGAGGATGCACTTGAGACCCGCTCTGCCATGACCTTGCTGGGTCACCCCTTTTTCTGGGGCTCAATTTTCTCAGGTAGGACATGGAAATGGAAAATGGCCTCTTTGGAACCATTGTGGCCAGCGTCGGGCAGGAGCCGTGGCTGCCTCCCCCTCCCTCCCCTCACTGCTGCCTGCGGGTCAGGAGCAGAGTGGCTCCCAATAGGGCCCCCACGGACCCCTTTCTGCCCATGGCCCGCGGGATCTTTTCAAAGGGTGAATCTCCTTCTGCCCCTGCCTGGGTTCCATTCTGGTTCAATCTCCTGTCCCAGGGGAAGCCTTCCCGGCCCCTCTGCGGGCCAGGGCGCCTTGCACTGTTCCCTGTAGGCTCTCAGCTCAGGCTGTGGTCATGCTTATTGTTGCATCCTCTGTTTGACAAGTGCCTCTCCTCCGGCCTGCTTGGCCGAGCACCGTATTGCCCAAGCCTGTGATGCGACCGACCGACGCTCGGAGGGACCCCTGTAAGCACGATGAGAAACGAAGGGAAGTCGGCTTCCCAGAGCCTTCAGGTCCCGAGCAGCAGCGACCTGGTGCTGCCTGACCCCAAGGCCTCATCCTCACCAGCACGGAGCCACGTAGCTGACACGAGGACAGCTCTGTAGCACCTGCTGCCCCTCCCACGGGGACCCTGTCTCAGCAGGAACTCAGCGATCCTCTGTCTCTAACGAAGGTAAGGTGACAGCCAGCCAGCCCTGGGGGAGGCGGCAGTGCACAGCAGGCAGGGGACACGGCTTGTTGTAATGTCGGCTGGGGTCTGACACCCGCGAGGCACCCTGCCCTTCTGACCGTCGGTCTTGTGTCTGTGCGAGTGGGCTCCCAGCATCTGGCTCCCGATGTACTGAGGATGCCAGGAGACAGCGAGGAGCGTTCTACCGAGGTCAGGTGCTGCACGGCACTGCCTTGCCCTGGGGCTAGGAACAGGGGCCGTGGAGCCAGACTGGTGGGGGTGACGCCTGCCTCGGCACTGTAGTCTCCGCATCTGCACAATGGGTGCTAATCACACCCACCTCCTGGGCCTGACGTGAGGAGCGAGTGAGCCCACGCAGGCGAGGCGCTCGGCTCGGTGCCAGCTCCTGGCAGGGCCCACAGGCTGTTCTTCTTCTACATAACCACGGTCATCCTAAAGGTGGCCGCAGAAGTGCAGGTATGTCGACCACCTGTACAGGAGAGCCCATGACGACCACCGGGGTCCTTTACTGGCTGTTAAAGACACAGGAGCAGGTGATTCTTTTTCCTTCTGGAACTTTCTCTGTCTTGGTTAGACAGGTTGCATATGCCTTATCCTAAAATGCTTGGAACCAGAAATGTTTCCGGTTTTAAATTTTGGAATATTTGCATAGATTTTACCACGTGAGCCCCCTAATCCAGAAATCCCAAATCTGAAATGCTCCTGAATCCGCAAGTGCTGTGGTGCTAGGCTGCCTCTCCAAAGGCTTCAGATTCTGGGGCATTTTGAATTTTAGATTTCTGGATTAAGGATGCCTGACCTGTGTTTCTTGGAACCACCCTCTCCTGGGTACGCCACGGTGTTAGACTGCCGGAGGACCATAAACACGATTTTCTTCCCCCAAATGAACTTGACCTTTGTCCTGGGGCAAACTGAGCAGGCCGAGGTAGGGCAAAGCCAGGGATTTGCTTTCTGTACCGGGCAGAATCGGCAATGCCTTTCCTGGGACCCTGACTCTAATCCCCTCCTCCCTGGAGCACGGGGCAGTGAGGATAAACAAACAAGAACCCCTGCACTGTGTCAGCAGACCTGGGTGCAAATCCTGCCCCTGCCTCGCGGCACACCAGGGTAACAACAGCTCCAGCCCTCAGGGGCGGATGCCTGCCATGCCCCGAACGTGCATGTGGGTGCTCAGTGAATGCTGAGACCCTATGGGTGGGGACGGGCCTGGCGGTCACACACCAACAAGCCTGGCCCCCCAGACTTTCTCATGGCATCTCACTTGCTCTCTTCCACGCCGTTAAGTGGAGCCGTGGCGCCGCTCTCAGATCTGAGGCTCAGGCCCCCAGGGGGCTCTCAGCACCTGTGCCTGCTGGGACCGTGGGGAGCCCGTGGCCCGCCTGCTCCGTCTCTCGGTGGTGAACCTCACACTGGGGACTGTGGTGTGAGTCCTCCAAGCCACCCTGGTTAGGGTCTCCCCAAAGGTGCACATGCAAAGTACAGCAGCAAGGAGAACAGACGCTACGCAGTGCTGATGAGTGGCAGGTGCCTCCCACGCATTATAGACTACTCCACAGCGCCCCTCGAAGGCAGGGACACGTTTGTTCTTGACAAATTAAGTGGCTGAGGCACAGGGAAGGTAAGTGACTTGCTTGAGATCACCTGGCCAAGTGCACTTGCCCACACGCGGTCTTGCCCTGGCTCTGTGGACAGATTCAAAGCCCTCGTCACAGCCCCAGGCTCACGCACAGTCCGGCCCTGCCCCCACTGCTCCCCTGCGGCAGCCACCCTAGGCTCCTGCGGATTCTTTCGCACCACTGGGCCTTTGCACTTCCCCTTTGCTTAGTAAACACTTTTTGCTTCTTGTTCCTCAGGCTGACTCCAGCCAGCCCTCAGCCTCAATGCCACTTCCTCCAGGAACCCTCCCCAGAAACACCCCCTGCTGTGGTGTCCATCAAGTGCCCCTATGACAATGTTGTCTGTCCTCTGTCTTGTGTTGTGTAGTCGTCGGGAACAGAGCATGGCGGCGCTGCTCACTGCACTCCTGGGCCTGGTTCCGTGGACAGCACACGACAAGCACAGCCCTCTGGGAGTCTGTGGCTGGGTGGGCGGGTGGACAGCTGGGTAGGTGGGAGGCGGCTCTGCTGGCTGGCTGGCTGTGGTATGGACGGGTAAACAGGTGTCCGGGTGAGGGGTGAGTGGACGCACGGACGTGTGGGTGGGTAGATGGATGTGAGCTATGGTCATCTCGCCTCTCTGAGACTCAGCTGCCTCCTCTGGCAAATGGTGGCCCCACACCCACACCCAGAGACACACAGCGCAGAGCCGGCCCCGGCCCCGGCCCTCCCCGCTCCGGTCCTCACGGTATTTGCCGGACGCGAGCCACCCGGTGATGGCGATGGTGATGTGCAGCTGCCTGCCCTCTGTCAGGGGCAGGAACGTGAACTCCTCGATGGCCCCGACACGCTTCTTCATCTTGTATCCTGCGGACCAGACGCAGGGGTGAGCGCGGAAGTGACCCGGCCCATGCTGTCCGCCCTCGCACCATGCGGTCTGCTCACACACGGTGGCTGTGCTCACACCCGCACTGCGGCTGTCTGTTCACACTCACAGCGGCTGTCTGTTCACACTCATACAATAGCTGCTCACACACATACTGCAGCTGTCTGTTCACACTCGCACTGCGGCTGTCTCTTCACACCCACACTGCGGCTGTCTGTGCTCACATCTGCACTGTGGCTGTCTGTGTCCACACTCACACTGCAGCTGCCTGTGTTCACACTTGCACTGTGGCTGTCTGCTCACACTCACATCGCAGCTGTCTGTGCTCACACCCACACAGCGGCTGTGTTCACACTCACACCGCAGCTATCTGTGCTCACACTCGCACCACGGCTGTGCTCACACTCGCACCACGGCTGTCTGTGCTCACACTCACACTGTGACTGTCTGTGTTCACACACCGCAGCTGTCTGTGCTCACACTCACACTGCGGCTGTCTGTGCTCACACTCACACTGTGACTGTCTGTGTTCACACTCACATGGTGGCCGTCTGTGCTCACACTCGCACCACGGCTGTCTGTGCTCACACTCACACCGTGACTGTCTGTGTTCACACTCACACCATGACTGTCTGTGTTCACACTCACACCGCAGCTGTCTGTGCTCACACTCACACTGCGGCTGTCTGTGCTCACACTTGCACCGCGGCTGTCTGTGCTCACACTCACACTGTGACTGTCTGTGTTCACACACCGCAGCTGTCTGTGCTCACACTCACACTGTGGCTGTCTGTGCTCACACTCACACTGCGGCTGTCTGTGCTCACACTCGCACCGCGGCTGGCTGTGCTCACATTCGCACAGTGGCTGTGCTCACACTCACACTGTGGCTGGCTGTGCTCACACTCGTAGCAGCTGTCTGTTCACACTTGCACCACGGCTGTGCTCACACTTGTACAGCATGTGCCAGTGGTGTGTCCCACCTCTGGAAAAATGTCTTTTGTTTCTGAACTCATTGCAGAAAGTGCCAGTAGGGTCCCGATTACAGAGAGGGCAATGGCCACTGAGGCCAGCCAGCCGCTGGGGGCAGAGCTGGGATTTGAACTCAGAACTCAGAGCCCAGGCTCTTCACCGCTGCTCCACCCTGCATCTCTTCCCTTCCCTGGGCACCTAAGTCAGAGGAGACGGAACCCAGCAAGACTCCACAGGGGAGTGAGCTCCACCAGGGTAGTGGAGCTGGGACTTCAGTGTGTGCGTGTGGGGACTGTGGACGCAGGGGAGGCGGGCACAGGGAGGCAGCATGTCCCCTGCACACAGGCGGCTCACCAGACACCTCCCGGACGGTGGCAGCAGGGAGTCTTCCTCTGCAAGTGCGCATGAGGTACACACGGGGAGAAGCGGGTTTTTCAGACTCGGCCCTCAGCCAGGCCCCTGGCGGGCAACCCCAGGTCCCCATGTAGCGGCTGCAGGTTGTGGCAGGGCTGGGACCTGGGGCGGGGAGAGCCACGTGTCCTCTGCTCCTCAGGGAGCCATCGCTGCTGACAATCTTCGGGGTGGACCACCCAGGCTGAGTCCCTCCTAGCCCGCCATACCCCTTGACCCTGACCTGTCAGGCCGGCTCCAGCTGCACCGAAAAGCGAGGTCATGATGGCTATGCCAGCCGCCGAGCCCAGCGCCGCGGCCCCGGCACTGCCGATGATCGTCGCAGCTCCGGCAGCAACAAGTGGGGCGGCCAGACCTCCGGTCACACCTGCAGGGAGAGCAGTTTGCAGCAGGTAAGGGTCAGAGGAGGACTGCCACCGCCTTCTGTGGGAGCACCTAACCGGGCTGAGGGCACAGTCACTACCGACGGGGCACCTGGCGCCTGCCCGGGCCGCCTCCCAGCCTGGCAGCTGCGCTCCACCCTCACTGTCCCCTCCTCCCTCAAGCCTGGAGCGCCCGTGGCTCCGCAGGCCCCGGCCCGGGGCCGCTCTCTCCAGCTGGCCTCACCGATCACCGTCCCTCCACCGACGGTCGCCAGGCCTATCAGGAGATAGCGCTTCCACTTCCTCCGGTTCTCCTTCTTCTTCCGGGACGCCTCGGCTGTCCTGGGAGAGAAAACGTTGGCCTTTAGGGCCAGCTGCGCCCGGGATCCCTGGAGACCGCCCCGCCTCACCAGTCCCCAACCTGGCACCGGGCCGGGCAGATGCTGTGCCATGCAGAGTCAGGCACCAAAGCCACCCTGGGCCCAGGGATGGTTTGTCAAAGGCTGAAGCCCAGGCAGGGATCTCAGCATGTGGGTGGTGCTACTTACCCAATGGGTCCATCCTAATAGGGTTGCAATTTGAATAATTGAAAAGACAAAAAAAGATAGTAATAGCAAGAGACAAAAAAGCCCAGATGGAACCCAAACAAGTACAACACGGAATTCCAGACCCAGGGCCTCTCTCCTTCCCTCCCTCCCTTCTCACCCCCCCCACCTGATCCCACCTTCCCCCCCCAGGACACGTGGCAACCAGTGTCTTTCAGAATCATCATTGTGAAGATGGGCTCGAGAAATGTCTGCATGGGACACCTTGACCTTGAAGCAACAGCTAGACTGGAAATGCAAGCACTGTGAACATCAGGCGAAAGGGAGGCGTTTGGAGGGAGTTGGGGTCAGGAGTCATGGAGCCCCAGCCTCCCGCCCCTTGGAGGGGGGCCAGAGCGTGAGAGGAGCCAGGGACGGGACGCACGGTCATTAAGAGGGAACTCTGGACTGCAGCTCGGGTTTTGACAACACGAATGCAGAACGGTAGCTAATGAGGACAATAAAACCGGAGAAAATGGTTAATATTTAGTGAGGGCTTCCTCTCCACCAGCCACCAGCACACACATCTCCCGCTTTATCTTATCCTAAGGAGCCGCCTGGCTACTGACCTGCATCCCAGACGGAGTAAGGGACCGCACTAGCGCCTTCCTGATGGCTGTGGCGGGGTTCCTAAAGGCCATGGGTGAAGCATTTAGAGTAGGGGCTGGGTCGCGGCACGTGTGGAGCAGAACTGTGGTCCTCGTGACCATGACACAGCATCACCTGGGTCTCAGTTTGCTCTTTTGTAAAATGGGGATAACAACACCTACCTACTGAGATGGTCGTTTTGTAGAGACCAGATTCACTCCTTCTTTATCTAAGTAATCGGTAAGCTCTTTAAAAATACTGTATTTATTCATTTAATTTTTATTTGAAAGGCAGAGAGAGAGAGGGAGGCAGGGAGGGAGGGAGGGAGACAGACAGACAGACAGACAGACACTGCTGTCCACTGGATCGTTCCTTAAATGGCTGCATCAGCCAAGGCCGGGCCAGGTCAAAGCCAGGAGCCCAGAACTTCATCAGGTCTCCACCCCAGTACGTGGACCATCATCCACCATCTCCTGCAGTAGCAGGAAGCTGCATCGCAAGTGGAGAAGTCGGGACTCGAACCCATGCACTCCTGTATGGAGTGTGAGCATCCCAAGCTGCGACTTAGCTGCTGTGCCAAACGCCAGCACCAACCCAATCAATGCACTTTTGTTGAGAATGGACTCCATGTCTGCGTGCAGAAAAACGCATGGGCTCAGCCAAGACTCCCAAACCACATCATCTTCTTTTTAAAAAAAAAAAAAAAAAAAAAAAGTTGGGACACAGAGAAAAACAGAGAGAGTAAGACAGATCTAGAAATCAAAAGGGCTTCTATCCACAGGGTCACCCTCCAAGTGCCAGCTGGCTGCGGACGAAGCTGGGAGCAGCTCTGGCGCGTGGGTGTCAGGAACCCCACCACTATCTCCGCACGGAGACGTCCCAGGATCCTCTTCAGCAGAGAGCTGGAGCCAGGGCGAAGGGCGGGCATGGAACCCAGGCACTGTGGTATGGGAGGGCGGCGTCTCCACTGCCAGGCTAGATCCCTCCCCGCCCCCGCCCCCGCCCCCAAACAGCACCTTTTGTTGAGAAATAGCTCATTCCCCAGCCAGGTAAAAGGAAGGGCACTTGAGCTGGGATTCGAACATCTGCTTTGCCTTTCGGCTCCTGGCTGGCTCAGCTCAACAAACCAACGTCCTCCTAGGCACCTCCTGGGTGTGCAAAGCACGGCACTTCTCAGAAGATTCCTGAGAGAGAGGCAGGACCCCCGGTACCAAGCCCCGTGCACCACAGGTGCCGTTTTTCCACAACCTAAAATTCAAGGCAGCAGCGGAGTGGGATGAGGCAGAGCCGCGTGCTTCTCGCTAAGTCCAAGGCGGGATGGTGACTGACAGTGAGGGTTCTGATGCCGGGGTCCAAACTCTGCAAACGTGGGCTTGGCTCCCACCCTGCTCTGGTGCAGGCTGCATCACTACTCAGTTGGCCCTCCCCATGGGAGGCGGATGCGGCCCCCTCAGCACCCTGCAGGACACCACAATCTGAGGACGCTCACGTCCCTTAGACAAAGCAGCACAGTATCCGCCTACAGCCTACGCACAGCCTCCCATATACTTCAATACATACTTATTTATTTTTAGTTTATTGAAAGGCAGAGAGAGACAGAAAGAGAGACCTCTTCCATCTGCTGGTTCACTCCCCAAATCCCCACAACAGGTAGGGCTGGGCCAGGCTGAAGCCAGGAACCCACAACTCAATCTGGGGCTCCCACGTGGATGGCGGGGACCCAGGTTCTTGAGCCATCACTGCTGTCTCCCAGGGTGCGCGTTAGCAGGCAGCTGGATCGGAAGTGGATGGACTGGGACTTAAACAGGTACTGCAGGAGTGACCTGGGTGTCCCAAGTGGTGACTGCACCACTTGCCTGCCCCTTCTCATATACCCTAAATCACCTCTAGATTAACCATCCCACCTAACAGAACATAAAGTACTTGTTACACTGTATCATTTAGGGAGCAACAAGAACAAAAAGTCCGCGTGTGCTTAGTACAGACACCATGCTTTTTCCAAATATTTTCAATTGTGGTTGTAGGAAGTGGAAGCTACAGAGAGCTGATGAACTCAGTGGTCATGCGACCAGCTTTAGCCAATGAAGCATAGCAGAAGTGGTGCCTATCATTTCTGGGCGGATCTAAGAGCAGGAGCGGGGGCTGGATTGGTCTCTTCTGCTCTGCACTAAGGCCACCATCCTTTCAATGAGGGCCACTCTATCAACCCGGGACTCAGAGCCCAGACAGCGTGGGTGACGTGGGTGATGGCCACGGCCAATCCGTAACGCACTTGCAGGATGAACGAGAAATACGCCTTGGAGGGTGGAAGCCACTGAGGTCTGGAGCCACTTGTGACAACAGCAAACCCTGGCCTACCCTCCCACGCAGGAGCCCCTTCCTCACTCTGTGACTACGTACAAGTCCTTGCCTTGTCTGACTTTTCCCACCCAACAAACAGGGGTCATAAGAGCTTGGTCTCCAAGCATCTGGTGCCAGCGATCGGCAGGCTCGATCGTTCAATACGCGGCTGCTATCATTTCTCTCATTACTGCGCTAATCTCCTCCTTGGTGGAGGCTGGGGGAGACTTTGAGCCTTTACTGATAATCCTTAATTTAGTTCAAAGAGGACAGAGGGACACTACCGGCTTTTGACAGAGTTCAAGACCTGAGAAAGAAGTCCAAGTGGCTGTCAACACAGACCAGGAACACGTGCCGGACAAGCACTTGGCTGTCAGTCGGCAGCAAACACCGGCCGGAAGAGCTGGGTGCCGGGGAAGATGCACTTGGGCCCGGCTCTGCCGTGACCTTGCTCGGGTCACCCAGTTTTTCTGAGGCTCTGTTTTCTCACAGAGGAATTGCAAATGTCAAATGACCCCTTGGAGGAAGGTGGAGATGGCCCCACCACCGTGGCCAGGTCAAGTAGGATGGTGCTACCGGTGGCTGGCTGCCCTCCTTCTCTTCCTCCCTGCCTGCCACCTTCGGGCCTCAGGGCCGTGTCCCCTCCCCAGCCTGACCCTCAGGGCCGCCATGCCTTGGCCCCTTCCATCTCTAACTTCATCCCTCATTGCTGCCCAACTTGACCTTTGCCTTCCAGAACCACAAACACTGCCGCCGTGCCACCTCTCCCTCGTGCCCGGGCTCCCTCGGAGTCTTGGCCAGCCAGGATCTTCTCACCTCTGCTGTGGACTCAACATTACTCACTCTTCGTGTGTGAGCCGCTGAGTAACACCTCCTCCGGGAAGCCTGCCCCCAGCACCACCCTGCCTCTGGCCTCTCTGACTCTGTGTCATGTTCTTCCGGGATTCTAGATCAGTGGTTTTCAGATGGCGGGCCTCCGAATCACCAAAGGTACCCGTTAGAAACCTATTTCCCAGGCCAGAATCTCTGCCAGCAGGGGAGGAATCTGAAACAAGCTCCTCCAGGGGTCCTGTTCTAGCTCACGCTGCAAGATGGCTGGGCCAGGCCTCCAGGGCGCGGCTCTGGCTCCCCACCCTCTGCAGCTTGCCCTGCGCCTGGAACTTGGGGGCACTGGGAAAAGTTCTTGAGTAGAATTCATTTATGCCAGCACCACACCGGGTTCTAGTCCTGGTCGGGGCGCTGGATTCTGTCCCGGTTGCCCCTCTTCCAGGCCAGCTCTCTGCTGTGGCCCGGGACTGCAGTGGAGGATGGCCCAAGTCCACGGGAGACCAGGAGAAGCACCTGGCTCCTGGCTTCAGATCAGTGCGCTGCGCTGGCCGCAGCTCACTGGCCGTGGCAGCCATTGGAGGACAAACCAACGGCAAAGGAAGACCTTTCTCTGTCTCTCTCTCTCACTGTCCACTCTGCCTGTCAAAAAAAAAAAAAAAATCTCATTTACGCCAACAAGGCCAGGGTGCTGGGGTGCTGCCCCATGGCAGAGATGTGTCCCTGCTCACTGTCCACGTCTCTGAACGTCACGGGGCACAGAATGCACATCCCAGCGCAGCGGAAGTGGGAAGTCTGGGGGAGGCATTCAGCCTGGTGGTTAGGATGCCACGCCCCGCACTGCAGTGCCAGGTCCCAGCCCTGGCTCTGGCTGCTGACTTCGGCTTCCTGCTAAGGCGCCCCGGGGGGGGGGGGGCAGGGTGATAGCCCAGGTGGCTGGGGCCCTGCCAATCACGTGGGAGATTTGTGTTGTGGTCCCAGACCCTGGCTGCTGCAGGCATTTGGGGAGGGAATCAGCAGATGGGAATTCTCTCTCTGCCTCTCAAAAAACAAACAACAAAAAAAAAGAAAAACAAAAACAAAGGGGGCTGGTGCAGTGCTGTAGCAGGCTAAGCTTCCACCTGCACCGCCGGCATCCCATAGGGGCGCCAGTTCAAATCTCGGCTGCTCCACTTCCAATCCAGCTCTCTGCTATGGCCTGGGAAAGCTACAGAAGATGGTTCAAGTGCCTGGGCCCCTGCACCCTCAAGACCCCTGGCTCCTGGCTTCAGACTGCCCCAGCTCTGGCCACTGCAGCCATTTGGGGAGTGAACCAGCAGATGGAAGACCTCTCTCTCTGTCTCTCCTCTCTGTCTGTAACTCTGACTCTCAATAAATAAATAAATCTTTAAAAACAAGCAAACAAGAAAACTCCAAGCCATATCTATCCAGAATACAAACCAAACACCACCCGAATGGAAGTGGATATTTGAACAAATCTGAGTTGCCAGACACTTGTCATGATGCCGACAGATTCATTATTAAGAAAGGAGTCCAACACTTGAGTTAGTGCCATTGGACTTTGTGGGCATCATCTGCTTCTAGATTCTTCCTAAAGTGACACCTGCCCACCTGTGATCCCAGGGAGTCCTCCCTTTTAGTTGAGTTTGGTGGAAGGGGAAGACTTGTGGCCTAGCAGAATAAAACAACTAAATGTAAATACAGTCTTTGAGGGCTGTGTTATTTAAATGCATCGGCGTTCATTCAGCAAATGATTTTTACAAAAATTAGGTGGATGATACGCTGTAATCTCTAGTATTCTGCTTGGTATTGAACATTTAAAAACACTGATTGATTCAAAAGCTTTTCTTCCTGATATAACCTTTTCTTTGAAAAAAATTTATTTGAAAGGCAGAGAGAGAGAGAGAGAGAGAAGAAGGAGGGAGGGAGGGAGGGAGGAGGGAGGAGGGAGGGAGGGAGGAAGGGAGGGAGATCTTCCCAAGTGCCAGCAATGGCCAGGGCTGGGCTGGGGTGAAAGGCAGGAGCTGGGAGCTGGTAACAGAATCCAGGTCTCCCAAGTGGGCAGCAGCCACCTAATTACTTGAGTCACCACTGCCGCCTCCCAAGGCCTGTGTTAGCAGGAAGCTGGAGACACCAATGGAATGCAATTCCTCTAACACGGATCTGAGCATTTAATCAGTGTCTTAACTGCTAGGCTACCGGAACTGAGCTGATCCAAAGCCAGGAGCCAGGAGTTTCTTCCAGGTCTCCCACATGGGTGCAGGGGCCCAAGCACTTGGGCCATCTTCTATGCTTTCCCAGGCCATAGCAGAGAGCTGGATCGGAAGTGGGGCAGCCAGAATACGAACCGCAATCATATGGGGTGCTGGTGCCACAGGCGGAGGCTTAGCCTACTGAGCCACAGCACTGGCCCCTGCACATTCTTAACACTTACTTTGTATATAAAGCGACTCCATTTGCCAGTCCTCATGAACTATCGTGGCGTTTTACTCTTGCAACTACTTCAGCCTCATCTGACTGGATGCATTTTAGCATCTCCAGCACAGGGTGACGTGCGCTGAGTCACGTCTGGAATGCGCTTCCCTTTCCCTTGGAAGAGAAGACTCACAGAGCTGATGCATCTGCTCCCGGCGCGGACTTTGCCCGCTAGTTAGACACGAACAAAGGCAGCCAGCACATCGTGAGCCACTGTTGGCCACGTGCATGTCCTCAAGCCCCAGCGAGGGACCTGGCTGGGCGTTCCACGCCGGCCTCCCAAAGGCAGAGGCCGGATCCCAGGCTGAAGCACTTTTTTTGTTTTAAAGCTTTATTTATTTGAAAGTCAGAGTTACAGAGAGAGAGAGAGAGAGAGAGAGAGAGAGAGAGAGAGTCTTCCATTTGCTGGTTCACTTCCCAAATGGCTGCCTTAGCCAGGGCTGGGCAAAGCTGAAGCCAGGAGCTTTGTGAGGGTCATGAATCCAGGAGCCATGTGAGTGCAGGAGCCCAAGCACTTGGGCCATCTTCCACTGCTTTTCCCGGGGCCACCAGGAGGGAGCTGCATGGTAAGTGGAGCATCCGGGACTTGAACTGGTGCCCATATGGGATGCTGGCATCACAGGCAGCAGCTTAACCCACTTTGCCACGATGCTGGCGCCTAAAGACATCTTGAGAAGAGTGATAAAGGCACACAGCTCATCTCCTGGGTCCCAGTAAGTTCTCCTGGCTGCCATGGCGTCTCCCCTGTCTGAGCGGTTCCCAGCAGGGCCTTCAAATCTGAAATCCCCTCTCGCATTAACAGGCAGGGGGCGCTGTCTCTGAGAGGCGTGCTGGCGGCCTCCTGGTCGCATCTGGGAGAGGCCCAGGAAGAATTCTCTGCTTTCTTCAATGTTGACAGGGAAGCTGGGATCGGCACCCAGGCCTCGAGGGATCCCATAGGTGACGGCTGGGACGGGGAGAGGGCTTGGACAGATGCGTCCACCCGCTGTGGGACCTGGGGTGAGTGGTATCACCTGTCTGAGTTTGTTCCTTCATCTGCAAGACCCACGGGGCACAAGCACTCACCCCATGTTAGACGCGCCAGCGCCACGGGGAGGGGGCAGCGGCAGCCTCCTGCAGCGTGCCGAGCAGTACAAGGTAATTAATTTAACACCGGGCCAGCATCCCAAGTGAGTGCCGGTTCAAGTCCCGGCTGCTCTGCTTCCGTCCGCTTCCTATCCAGCTCCTCGCTCACGAGCCTGAGAAGGCAGTGCAAGATGGCCCAGGTGCTGGGGCCCCTGCCACTCACGTGGGAGACCTGGATGGAGTTCCAGGCTCCTTGACTTTGGCCTGGCCCAGCCCTGACCCATTGCGGCCATCTGGGGAGCGAAGCAGCAGAGGGACCATCTCTCTCTTTCTCTCTCTCTCTCTCTCTCTCTCTCTCTGTAACTCTGCCTTTCAAATAAATAAATTAGCACATCTTTTAAAACTGATTTAATCCTCCCAACAACAAGAGACGTGGATACGACCATCACCCCCTGGCTAGACATGAAGGAAGTGAGGCCCATGGTGGTGAAGTCGTAGGCGGCCCCAGGGCACGTGGGCGGGGGGGGGGGCAGAGGGGAGCACAGCACACCCCAGGCTCCGGCTTCAGAGGGGTTCGCTCACCCCCCCTGGAAACCCAAAACCTCCAAATTACAAGAAATCTACATAAAATTCAAACCCCCAATATTATAGCTTAAAAAGAGCTGGTGCTGATGCCCAAGGCCACACAGAGAGCTGGGCACGCAGCCCAGCTGAGAACCGGCTCTGCTGGTTGGATGGCTGCTCCGATTCCTCTCCGGGTCTCAGATCCTTCCAGACCACAGACGGACACCACGAGGTCTCCGAAATAATAAACACACGTGGGAAGCCCTTCCTGTGCACGTTGGTAACAACGCAAGTGCGGCAGCTCGCTTCCCCCGGCACGTGGGCGCGGCCACACCCTCCGTCCCGGCCCACGCGAAGCCCAGCACAGGTAGGAGCTCATGGGGCCCGCGAGGGCCCTAAGAGGAGGCTGCTGTGACTGCCCCCCTTTCGTAGGCGAGGGGAGTCCAGCCCCTCCCCCGGTCAGCGGCAGGGCTGGGCTGTGCTGCACCTCCCGCTGGCCGCCTGCCTGTCCTCCTCTGGCACTTCCGGCGTTCTAGAACACTCAGCGGAGCACCGCGCTTCTTTCTGACACTGAGATTTCCAGACGGCAACTACGAGGCCCCGCAGCTTCAAGGCCTGTGGGACCCCACGCGTGTCCGGCGCACGGGAAGAAGCTGGACAGCCCCCGAGACGATGCTCACGGCGCGGAGCCAGGGTTTCTTGCTGACACAGCTCTGGGAGGCACAGCAAATGTTTTCAGATGATTTCGACACACCACGTTCTCTCCTTTCTCAAGGAAACACCCCTTGCCTTTGCCCCACAGACTCTGGCCGGAGAGCGGCTCTGGCTCTGAAGTCGGCTTTGGGATTGAACTTCCCACGGGGCCGATCCGGTGTAGTGGGGCTGTTTAAACGGTTACCATGGCTAAACAAAACCCAGAGGCAGGGAGACGTGCCTGGTGCCCAGTGCCTGCAATCAGCCTGTGCCTGGGGCTGATTTATTGCCCTGGGATTAGCTCCTGCAGAGTGACTTCCTCTGCACACCCACAGAGAGCAAGGCTGCTGTCCGGCTCGGGGGTACAGGGTGGAGAGAGGCAGGGGAGCCTCCCTGTGCGCCAGCCCCAGGCCAAGCACTCGGTGATGCTTCTGCATCCCCTTCCCCAGCCACTCTGGAAGGGCGTGATCCGTATTCCTGTTTTCCAGATAGGGCCACCTGGCCAAGGTCAGACAGCGGATAAATGCCAGAAGTGGGATTTGAACCCAGGCCACTCGAGACTGTGGACAAGGGTTGGAAGAGCCCGAGGTCAAGCAGGGTCATAGGACATTCAAGCCACAGATCTGGGGCCCTGGCAGGTAAGGACTGAGGCCCAGAGAGGGCAGGTGACTTCCCCAGGCCACACAGCAAGTCAGGATGCAGCAGGGACCCCTCGTGCAGTGCTCCTTCTACCCCACAGCCTCATCTCTGGGCGGCAGGAGCAGAGTCCTGTCACCAGCGGAAACCCTGGCTCCGGGCCGGGGTCTGGGGCTCTCTTACTCAGACTCCTCCTCTCCGGTGTCCTTCAGGCTCTCCAGGAACGTGTCTTCAAGGAGCTCCAGCTCCTGCAAGGGCACCTGCAGCAGGGAGCTCAGGTGACAGACGAGGACTCTGGCCCGGGCATCGTAGCACCCTCAAAGAGAGAGAGAACACAGCGGAGCGTCAGGTCAGGCTCTGGGCTCAGCGACTTTCACAGCAGGGACACCAGCAAACCCCACATCCTGGAATTGCCCACCATGGCCGGGCCTGCGGGCGGGTCTGGGGGCCAGGGGGAACGTGACACAGCTGCAAACATGCCACACGGCAACACGAGGACGGTGCTTTCCACCAGCCATGTGACAAAGATCAATTGTTTTAAATTCCAAAGTCATGAAGGAGATGATAATAATGGGAGCACAGAGGGGCCTCTGGTGGGCATGTGCAGTGTGCACTTGGGTCAACTTTCTGGAGGGTCACTGACAACACAAGGAAGTGTCACAAACTTAAAAACAACAACACCAAATCTGCATCCTGGGCGAGGCATCTGCAGCGCAAGGTTCAGATGCCTGCGTGCCCACATCAGAGTACCTGGCTTTGATTCCCGGCTCCGGCTCCTGAATCTCGCTTCCTGCCAATGCGTGGTGATGGCTGAAGAACTTGGGTCCCTGCACCCACATGGGAGTCCTGAATTGCCTTCTGAGCTCTTGGCTTTGGCTGGGCCAAACCCCAGCCATTGCAGACACTCAGGGAGTGGACCAATGGCTGGAAGCCGTCTCTGACTCTCTGTCTCTAGCTCTCTGCCCCCAAGTTATGGAAAAAGCTTGTACTGCCTTTGCCCCAGGAATTTAACTTTGAGAATTCCAATCTTTTTTAAAAAAATATTTATTTATTAATTTGAAAGTCAGAGTTAGAGGAAAAGAGAGAGAAAGAGAGAAAGAGAGAGAGAGAATCTTCCATCTGCTGGTTCACTCCTCAAATGACTGCAATGGCCAGGGCTGGGCCAGGCCAAAGCCAGGAGCCAGGAACTCTACCTGGTCTCTCCCATAGGTGGCAGGGGCCCAGGTAGCTGGGCCATCCTCTGCTGCTTTCCCAGGTGCACCAGCAGGAGCTGGGTGGGAAATGGAACAGCCGGGGCCCGAATCAGAGCTCTGACAGAGGACGCCGGCATTGCTGGCGGCAAGCTTCGCTCACTGTGCCACACTGGCCCACACAGGATTTTGTCTCCTTTTCAAAATTATCCATAATGAACGGGCTACTTTTATAATTGGAAAAATTAATCGATGCCAAGTTAACCAAAAGCATCTGTCTCCACTCTAATTATAAAGCCCAGCAGTTTTTAAAGTCAATACGCGTTAGGGGTGGGGATTCAAAGCGACAGAATGAAGCACCCCTGGGCAGGCGCTGTGGCACAGTGGGTTAAGCTGCCTTCTGTGATGCCGGCATCCCGTATGGGCACCAATTCGAATCTGCTTCCAATCCAGCTCCCTACTAACGCGCCTGAAGAGGCAGCAGAAATGGCCCAGGTCCTTGGACCCCTGGCACCCACGTCGGAGACCTGGATGGAGTTCTAGACTCCCGGCTTCAGCCTGGCCCAGCCCTGGCCATTGAGGCCATCTGAGGGCTGAATCAGCAGAAGGGAGATCTCTCTCTCTCTCTCTCTCTTCCTCTCTCTCTAACTTTGCTTTTCAAATAACTAAATAAATCTTGAAAGAAAGAACGAACAGACCCTGCCCTGTGGAGTGGTTTCTGTCTTTGAGTAGCAGAGCGATGAACATGATCCCATGCGAAGTGTCTCTTTTCCACCAAGACTCTGATTGCATTTCCAAGCCCAGGCTGCCAAACTCCACCTCATGTGCCTGGCAGGGGCCCCCACGTGGCATCAAGGACCCTTCCAGGTCCCCTCTAGGTGACCTCAGAACATGACACACATCTGTGGACATCTGTGGGGCCAGGGGCCTTGAACTTTTACTCTCCTCCCAGGATGTGGCTCAGCCATCACCTCCACCCTGAACCTCTCTGATCACGTCTTCCCTTGGGGTGGGGGGAGGGGTCTGCGGTTCCCTACAGGCCTCTCCCGGCCCCTCGCCCTCTGTATCATGCCCGATCTCAACTTCCTCATCTGTTCATTCACACCCAGCACTTCCCCACCCACCCACCATGCGGCTTGCTGCGACAGCTCAAAACATGTTGATTCAGTGAGCAAACAAATCCTGCTGATTCGGAGGGCAGAGTCTCTGCCACCCAAGCCCCATGCCAGCCTTCTAAGCTGGACCTCTGGGACACAGAGAGACACGCCCAGGCCTTGGCCTTCCGCTGGGCTGCACTAACCACCCGTGTTGGGGTGGGGCCTGGGAGACACGAGCCATCTCAAGGGTCCATTCCCAGATCCAGCTGCCCGTCGGCCTTGGTTGGGTCTCCCAAGTCCTTGATGTGGGACCCTCCCTTCTGTGACCTCAGGGCAATGTCACAGGGCCCCTGACATGTTCAAGCCGGAGGTCTCGGCTTCTGCAAAGGCCGTGGGCTTAGTGCAGGGCCTGTGGTGCGCGGGTCGGCTTCTGCCAGCTGCTCCTGACCGACTTCCTGGAGCAGAGCCTGTGTACGTGCTGGGAAACAGACCAGCATGTGGTGTGTCTCGAAGTCACTAGGTTAATTAAAGCACCCACAGACAAAGGCGCAGAGCCTGCTGCGGCCAAGTGATAACGGGGCCGCGCAATCGAAGGCTGGGCGTGATGATTAATGGGGGGCAGTCACGATCCATGGCTAGCGCACGCCCATCCATCAAGGCTGCGGCAATAGCCGCCAGGTGCACGGGTGATTAACATTCCCGAGGTGACCTCAGGCACGGGCTTGGTACCCCGGCCTCGGGGAAGGGACATTCCAAGGACCTCGTCTTGCCGCTGAGACTCGTTAAGGAGGCGGGGCGGGGCACGAGTCCTGGGCTCCCCCAGGACCCTGGGGTTCTCTGGTCCCAGTTCTTGAGCCAATTTGCAGGTGGCCAACTTACCCAGTGAAGGCCTGTCTGTCCTGGCTCAGTGAAAGGTGCCCCATCCACCTTGGAGCTTAGGCTGAAAGCCTGGGCCTTGTTCCTGGCTCTTCTCTCCCCCTATGACGCCCAGCCCACCAGCTGGCACGGCAAGTGGTGCCTCCGAGGTAAATCCTGGTCTGACCCCTGTGACCGCCTCACTCTACACTCTCCGGCCCCCCACTGGCTTCTCAGCGTTCCTTCTCGACCTTGAATGCCACTGGCCTCACAGCAACCAGAGGGTTCTGTAACATCACCAGTCGTGTTCCCACGCTGGCTTAGAACTCTCCGATGGCTCCCTAGTGCTCTTCGAATCAAACCCACATTTCCTCTGAGGGTCTGCAAGACTGGGCTTGCATGGCCCCTTCGGGTCGCCCTCTCCCACTGCGCCTTCTCCCCGCCCCTGTATCGTGCACCAGCATCTTCCCTGTCCAGAAGCCAAGCTCATGCCTGCCTCTGGGCCTTGGCACTGGCCACTCCTGCAACTTGGGAAGCTCTGCCCCCGGAATTCTGCCTGGCTGGCCTTTCCCATCAGGCCGAGTCTTAGCTTGCACCTCACCTTCCTGGAGAAGCCAGTGGCTCTGCATTTAGAGCTGCCCATCCCCGAGTCCCCTGTCCCCAGGACCTGAATTATACCGTCGTTCTCTCTCTGTGTCATGTCTGGCTCTCCCCACCAGATCATCGGGGGGTCTCTGCCTTGTTCCTTGCTGTCTCCCAGCACCTGGGACACTGGCTGGCAGTCAGCAGGTGCGTGGTTCCAACGCGCTGGCTCGGGAACTCACTGACTGCGGCACTGCCCTGCTGGCCCGGGTTCTCTGCTGTGCCTGCTGCCCCTGCTGCTGCTTCTACCGAGACACTCTTTTTCCACCGTCCTCCATGTCCCAGTCCCTCCAGGGGTAAAGGGAGAAGGCATTACTGGTTCACGCCTCTCTCCCCCTCCGAGTGGGGATGCCTCTTACAGTGATGAGTTATCCCTAAATGTCAGAGTCCGGGTAACGTCTGAACTCTCTCCTAGATTTGCCCATTGCGCAGTTCCTTCCTCAAATGTCACCTCCGAGAAGCCCTCCCTGACTTCGCTCCACTGCTTTCTAGTCCCTTACCAGGAATCACTTACCACCACCGAAAACCGCAAAATGACTGTCTGTCTCCTCTCTAAAATACGAGCTCCAAACTCACTCTGCATCCTAGGGCCGAGCGCCAGCACCCCAGGAGGAGCTCCCACTCCTGACGGCTAGCCCTCCCCATGGCCCGAGGCGTGGGTGTTCTGCTGCCCCACTTTGCAGACGAGGGAAGAACAGGCACACAGAGGCTAACACACGTCCTCAAAGCCACGCAGCGGAGAGAGGGGGAAGCTTGGATTATAATCCAGATAATGATGCCAGTGGTTCTGCTCTCTGTGCTGGCTCCTTTACAGGCAAATGTCCTACTCCTGAGTGAGTCTGGGGAATCCTGGACAATCTCACGTGGCCAGTTCAGAACTCTTAACTTCAGCGCACACAGGGCTTATACACAAGCTCAGGGACAGCCCTTGGCCGTGAGCCACAGGGCCACCTAAAAATGATCTGTGCCCTGGGCGTGCAGTTCTTTGGAAATTCCTGTAGGGGCGAGGGTGGGAGACGGCAGCCAGGGAGCTGGGCTCTGCCATCAGGAGGCAGGGGTGTGACAGTTACCTAGAACTACAGGAAGGTCCGAGGATTCACCCCAGACACACACAGGCTACAGGAGCCCTTGGAGCCCAGCTGGTCCCCTGGTTCAGGGAGCACCGGGGGCACACCTGGAGTCAGCCTGTGCACTCACATGGAGCCGGGGCCCGAATCCACAATTCTGGGCTCCGTCCCCATCAGCATCTCCCAGTACAGACACGACTGCATTTTCTATCTCCTAATCCAGCAACGTCTTGTGCGCTGGAGGATGAGCTGCACCCTGGAGCTGGGGACTAAGTGCCAGCTGCCAACAGCGACTCCCTCGACTTTCCCAAGTGGGCCTCAGTGGGGCAGGACAGCCTCCTGTCGCAAGGCATTGAACCGGCCTCTGCTCTCAGCAACAGTCCCACCTCTGCGGGCCTGATGCCGACCTTGCACCTGCCAGGAGAGCCCCAGCTGGAGCCCATGCCCTTGGGGCTTGTCCCATGC